ACTCCTGGGGGGCTCTTCTTTGTCCTGATGTCTTAAGGCCCAGGCTTTCAAAACTGAAAAGCCAGTCACTTTGTGACCAGTGTTCCGCTGAGCTCTCTTTCCCTTGGAATACAAAGGCAGAATGTCTAGCTTTTGAAAGGAAGAGGGATATATGAGGAGGAACAGGGTAGGAGTTACAGGAATTTGAGTCGAGGTAGATAGAGTATCATTTAATATTTCAAAGCATTATTCATATTAATAATATTATTAAATGAAAAAACTGCACAATAATGAACAATTCTTACACACATATACACACAATCAGCGAGGCTTGAAGAAGTGAGGAAAACTTCTTAGGACAAGTAGAACTGGGTCCCTCCCCTTTGGTTGAAGGGGGCGTGGGCGATGGTGACAGGAAGCAGGCCTGAACACTAGGCCGGTGGCTGGCCTTTGAGGAGATGCTCCGGATAGAGGCTGAAACTAGTAGGTGGAGGTACAGCAGAAACTGAGCTTGGGTGGCCAAGGCAGACCAGATGGTGAGTAACTTCAAAAGCAAGACAGAAAGGTGCGTTCTCATGTAGCTGGTAATAACCACTGAATGCTTTTTTAGCTAGAGTATAAGCTGATGGAAATACCTGGAAGACATTTGTGTCCACTGAACTCAATAACCACTGAGCCTCTGTCATTCACAAGGCACCGTGCCAGGCAGTAGGGACAGACAGACAAATTCGGTAGCTCTCCCAGGAGTCAGGGAAAGACAAGTGAAGATGAGCTACCAGTAATCTAGTATTTTCTGTCACCATCCGTATTCCCAATTACCCCTATGGCACCTAAGTCATATCACTTATCATGTAGTTTTTTAACTAACCCTTGACCACTTGTCTGTCCTTCCACTGGACCCAGAAGATCTTGGACTCCTTGAGGGTAGGAACCGTATGTTATTAACTTGTGACCTTAGCACTTAGCACTGTACCTTGCCCTTCATGGGTACTCAGTAAATGGGGAGTATGTGAATGCTTGGACATCTGAGTAAGTCAGGTGCTAAGGGGATGCAGCATCAGTGGGGAGACATGAAAAGGGATGACTATGAGAAAGATTTTCAAAGGAAGACATGTACAGGATTTCATAGCCAATGGGATTGAGAAGATAGACTAGAACGAGTCCAAGATGACCCTTGAGGTGTGGCTAGAGAGTGGTGGTGCTGGATATGACTGAGGGCTGGGAGGGGACTGCGTCTGGGGAGAAGAGGACAGGTTCCATTTAGAACTCTGCATTGTTGAGAGTTTCCTGGGAGTATCTGAACTCTTACGAGGCAAACTCCATGCTTCCCGGGAACATTTTTGATGAGCAGCTATCTTCATAGTGGCGGGCTAATTTCAGAGTAAGTTTATTAAAATTAGCATGTGGGGGAAAGCGAGCAGAACTGCTATTTTTACCTAATGGGATCATGTTCTCTCCTGTGCAGGGAGATTCACATATGTGCTTCTAAAATTGACAATTTCTACTCTTATTCTGTTAAAAAAAATTCATTTAGCGACTTTCATGTTGAATAAAATACATTGGCTGAAGATGAGAAGAGGACTTTGGCTAGTCCCTGAATGAAAATGACCAGAGTGAGCAATATTTCTTAGCCACTGCCTGGTTTTCCACCAATAAAACTATACTGAGGCTCTGGGTGCCTCCTGGCAGAGGACTTGGCTTACCTGGGAGCCTGCATCTCTCTCTGGTCCTTCAGGTAAGATAGTGCCAGTGGTAGAGGACACCTGGTCCCCAAGAAACACGGACCTTAAGCAGATTTTTTAGAAGTGTTTCCATTTTCATTTCACATCTTCTAGCTGACCCTGTTTCTTTTATCTTACGGTATTTCATTGTAACAAACATCTTAAGTTTGTTCAAAATATCAGACTTCTTTAAGCCAATCTACCATTTTACAACTAGCTTATTAAGCAATCTTAAAAAAAAAAAAAAGAAAAATAAGAAGAAAACAGCACTTCACCAGGTCCTCTCACTCAGAAGCCTTCAATAGCTCCCCGTTACTGGGTATTCAAGACCCTCCTCAAGCTGATCTTGACTTGTCTTTCTAGCCATCTGTCTCATTGTTCTCCTCATAAACTGGCTGTTCCAGCTGAACCGGTCTGTTCTGCATTCTGGCTCCTCCCTTATTCTCCCACCCTGACCTCATCTGGTGGGCCTTCCACTTCTTCCCTGACCACAGCCTTTACCAGCCCTTCAAGGTGGAATAGACACCCACAGCCCTCATAAAAGTCGTCCGTGACCACCCCAGCGTAAAGTGAGCTCTTCGACCTGTCACCTTATGTGATGTAGGTTCCAAGCCACTCGTGGAACCCTTCCATGCTCTCTGAGCAAGGAAAGGACCTTCTCTGTGTGTGGATCTTAACTGCTATACAGGTTAGTGATCTCCTGAGGAAAGGGGCCATGACCACCCGGGTTGGGGCAGAAGACAGGAATTCTAGAATGATAAGGCTTTATGCTGTGGCTCAAGAGGTGTGGTCCTGCACCTGAGTGAGGATGCTGATAGAGCATCCTCGTAATGACTTAGTTCTGGCCCATTTGCAGGGCTTCTGCTTTGATTTCACATTCTCATTTGTGGGAAGAGGCTCACAGACATGCCTGCCCACCTGCAGTTTATTAGTGACAGACCTACAGGTAGGGGGTCAGTGACGTCAGAATGGATCCATCCCTGTGTTGGGTTGGTGGGTTGGCATGAAAGAAGAATGAAACATAGGCCAGGGTATTTCAGTGGGACAGATGGTTAGCAAAGTAGGAGGTCAGCACGCAGCATACTAGGGACGTAATGAGCACTGCTATGTGCGAAGCCTTGTGTGTGAGACAGTGCTCCCGAGGGGTTTACAGTCTAGTGGTGATGGAGAACAGGGGCATGCATTGTGGTAAGTGCTCTGTGGGTTAAGGGGAAGATCATTTGGATTGGTGAATTAAGGAGGTTCTTGATGAGGGTGGCACTTGGGCCAGGAAGTTTGGCAGGATTTCTGCCAGAGGAAATGCAGAGGAAGGGTGTTCGAGGCAGAGGGAATGGAGATAGCAAAGGCACAGAGGTGGCAAAACGCAGGCTTGCTTGGGAAATCCCAGATGTCTTCCTCTGCTTGAGACACATAGTGGGACATCAGGTGCTGTTTGTTAAGCTGACCTTGAGTGCCCGGATAGCTACAGAGATTCCTGGGGCTCTGAATGGCCTCCATTCTGGAGGCAACTCAAAGGGCATGAGTAAGAGGTTGCCTAGGGATGAGGGTTGAGCAGAACATAGGAGGTCACCTGCCCCTGTCCCTGTCCCTCTGTCTCCTTGCTCTTATCCACTCTCAACCCACCTGGGTCTGCCTTCCACCTCTGCTTTTCTCCTGAAAATGCTCCTGTCAAGGCCTCCCAAAGACCAGCCTCCTATTTGCCACACCTTGTGGTCTTTCTTCTGGCCTCAACCTGCCTGATACTCCACGCTTCTTCCCCTGCACGCAGGGCTTTGCCTCCCTCCATGGGGCCGCTGGAGGTGTCCTCCAGACCCTCGTGCTCAGTGCGCCCTAAATTGAGTTCACCTTCCCTCTGCCTCCCGCCCTTCCCACCTCTTCCCCTCTTCTATCCCATCTCAGTTAATGGCATCACTATGGAAGCGTCCTTGATTGTTCTTCCCAAATTCCACCCCCCATCTAATTGTTTATGAAGGCCCATCTTTTCTGCTTTAGAACAAGTCCTCAAATCAGGGCTCTGTGTCACCTTTCTTACTATCCCACCACCACCCAGGTTCTCATCCACTCTTCCCAGCATATTTGCAACACCCTCTAAGATCTTTCCACGTTGGTACTAGAGTTGTCATTCCCAGCACTGACATGATTCACCACTCCTTTGCCTAAAGTTCTCTGATGGCTTTCCAGAGCCTGCAGAGGGAGAGCCATTCCTCAGGTGTCCTCCAACGGCCTGCCCTCACCTCACCTTCAGTAACTGCTCTGTGCCTCTAATGCCACCGCCTCCCCCAACCCTGCCATAGAACTGCTACCAGATCATTCCATACCCTGAGGCATCTCTAGGTCTTGGCTTATGTCCATAGACCACCTCCTACTCACATTTTAAAGCTCAGCTCAAATGTCATAACCTCCACTTGGTTTCCTACCTCAAGAGATTGGGAAGTGGGTGGTAAATTTCAGTTAGGAAGGTGGTATGGGGGATTGCGATCAGGATGAGAAGGTAAGGGAATGGGTCCCTGAGGAAGAGGTGGGTGGTTACCAACGTCTCGCACAGCGCCAGGCACATGATACTGGGCAGGTACTTGGAGAGGAAAGGGAGGGAGGGATGGAAGGAATGAAGGGAAGGGAAGACAGTTTTCCTTGCCATTTCCAACATTCTCTGTGAAACCAGCCCTGCTCACCTGATGGGGTGCCCCACTTCCAACCTCTCCCCAAGCTGAGCATGGCTGTGAAGGAGATGAGAGTGAGTTCCACATGGCCCAGCATATGCCTGGTGTCCTGGCCAGCTTCCTGTCTCAGGCTGCAGTGGGTTACATAAGTCACCAAACCCTACCACTGGGTAGCTCGTGGTCTCGGGCAAATGTCCTGACTTTTCCAGACTTCAGTTTCTCTGGACTTTATACAATGAGAGTAACAGTACCTGCCTTGCGTCCCTCACCTAAGATGAGGATAAAGTGAGATGAGGTACGTGAAAGTGTGTTTTAATGGCCCCAACCGTCTGCAGCCGAGGTGGTGGTCCCGTCCTTGCCCGAGCTTTAGGAAAACCCTTCCCGGGACTTTGGAGATGCTTCAGCAGAGGGAGGTGATGGGTCAGCTGCTGGCTGTCAACGTGATGCCATTGAGAATTCATATCGATGGGGCGCAGATTGACGTACCTGCTTGCTCTGCCATCTGCAGACCCCATGACCAAGGCAATATTGGAGGTGGCAGCAATGGGACTCCCTTTTTTTTTTTTTAGTCCAGGTCCAATTTGCCTTTTAATTTGCTCCAGACTGGCGAGTGCTGTCGGGGTCAATCTGTAACCTTTTCTGCTTTTCCGACTGTCTCCAGCTTTGCCAGAACTTCCAGCGCATTTGCAGGCTGCTCGATCAATCATCTCCTGGGCAGCTTCCATCACATGGCCTCTTCTGCTCTCCCCTTATTCACCTCCTGACCCTGGACCCTTCTCACTCCCCCTCAGTCTGGTCTCCTGCTGACCACTCTGTATTTGTCATCGTTTGTTGGGGGTTTGAATGAGCCTCACAGTCAGCTGATTTCAGTGCTCAAGACACAGCACTTGCTCACAAAGAACTAGCATTCACCTCCCTCCTCAATTCTTGCAGGTGCTTCCCCATCAGCCTCCCTGCCTCCTGCATCTCTTTCTGCCTTTCCATCCCATCCATCACTGCCTGGTCGGGGGTCTGGAGGCACAGCTGTGATCCTGACCCTTTCTAGCTCAGAAACCTCCAAGGTCCTATTGGCCCTCACCTGGGCTCAGACTCTGTTGTCATTTAAGGCCTTTCTTTTGTCCAGACAAAACAAAAATGCCTTATTTCGCATTTCTCCTTTTCACAAGTCCTGTGCTCCTGGCAAACAGAACCCCCTGGGGTTTTTGCTTCCCTGCACCTGGCCTTGCTCAGTCCATGCTCCTGCCTAGAACTCCTGTTCCCTTCCTTCTCCTCACTCCTCTTTCAAGGTTTGGTCATGACCACCTTGATCCCCACCTGAAAGGTCTTTTGCCTTCTGCAATCCCAAGCATCTTGACACACCTCCGTGACCAGCAGCTCCCTGGTGCCACACAATGGAATTGTTTCTGTCCATGCCTTGCCTCCAGTCTGGAATTCCTCAGCGCAGGATGGGCGGATTCATTTTTCAATTTCCCATTGTGCCTGGAACCATGTCCTGCATGTAGTGAACAAATCTAAAAGAGACGACAAACCCAGTGGCTTCTCAGCTACCGCTTGAACTGGAAAACTACTGAATTAAAACAAGGGTGTCCTTTTTGTTTGTCAGAATAGCATGTTTACTTGTTCCTCTCTCCCAGGTCCCCTTCCCTCCATTTGATGTCACAGGCCTTCTGACTCTCAAAATATAGATGGTGATTAAGGTAATAAGTCATATCTCCTTTTAATAAGCTCTAAGTGGTTTCTGAATTTACTAGAAGTCGGTTCCTCCCTCCCACTCTCCCTCCCACCATTCCTTCTCCTTCCTTTCTTCCAGACTGGAATTTTATTCCATCAGATCTATTACTTGAAAAGCGTCAGGCAGAAGCTGCGGGTGGGAAATCATTTGATTATAAAGAGCCACTTTCTATTATGGATTCTGACCTGTGTTAGAGTGTGTCTGAACATCTTTAACTCTGCTCTGGACTAGAATTTAAGTTTGTTTCAAGGTTATTTGCCACCCACAATTGCCTCTCATGCAAAGAAACGCAGTTTGGGGGGTCCGTATGGCCATTTTCTTATCATGAGAAGTAATAAAAATAACTCCTTAAGTCTGTCTTTCTTCCTCTGGTATTTAAGAGGATTAGGTCCCAGGCACTTTGCTAAAAGTTGGGGTGCAAAACCCAACAGGGTGTCATCACCATCCTTTGTGTTCCGTAATCTAATTCTTGTAGCCACTTTATCAGTTAGAATGAGCAGGGGGAAGTGTCCTTATTTTATAGACGAAGAAACGGAAATTCAGAGTGTTTACGAAATATTAAAAAATACAGAGTCCTTTTTTTATGATCACTCAGCAAGAAGCAAGCATGTGGAGCTAAGCCTTTACACTTGAGGGTCAGAAGGTTTTCTCTCTGGGAGCCTTGGGTTCAGATCTCTGCACACTCAGCTCAGCTGACCCAGCTCTCCACCTAAGAACTTAAGCTGAAAAAGAGACCTTTGGGGTCTGGTTGCAGACTCCTGCCAAGACTTCAGTTTAGGTTGGAAGTCGAGTAAAAGTGGTGTCAGAAGACCTGCAGCTGCGACCACATCCTGAAAGATGGTCAGGACGCCCCCTGCGTGTTGTGGGCTGAAGGCAGGTGTGCCAGGTGGCCCAGCCCTGTGTGAGCCCCGGCTCCGCAGAAGTGAGGGCCTCTAACCTCCCACGCCCACCTGTTCACCCCCATCACAGAGGGTCCTTGCAGCAGCGGGGCCCTGCCCTTGATGTCCTGAATCTGTGAACAAGGAAAGGTCGGGGAAGAAAACTAAGTGGCTGAAGGTGTTACCTAGAGATGATAAGACCTCGGGTCATGATGGATTTATCTTTAAATTTCCAAGTAATGTGAATTCACTGCCCCCTCCAATTTAGAAAATATAGGTATGTTTCAAAGGAAAAACCATAATTCCACTAGCCAGAGTTGACTGCTATTGACATTCTAGTGTATAAACTTTCAGACATTGCCCCATACCTTTATTTCTAAAACTGAGTTTACATCATATGCTATTTGATTTTTCCCTTTGTATTGAGGCTAACGTTCGTACCGTGAATGCACACAGTGGATGCTGGATGCATTTTTACACACCTGTGTGACCGCCGCCCAGATCGGGATGCAGAGCGGCCCCAGGCTCCCAGACGGTTCGCGTGCCCTCTCCCAGTCAGCATCCTCCCCCAGCCAGGAAACCACTGTTCTGACCTGGGTCATTCCAGGCTGGTTTTATAACTTGTTCTTTTTTCTGCTCCTCAATAAGTAGTGAGTAGGTCCTTAACTCGTCATCAGCATCCGCATCTGTCTTAAAGGCAGCACAGGACGTGCAGTATTGACAAGTCAGACATCTGCTGTACTTCGAGGCTCTGTTTTAGGAATACTTATTGCAGCGTCTCCCACTATCAGAAAGCCCAGATGTCTGACATCCGGGATTCTGTTTAGCTCCAGCAACTTCAAGATCTTCCTGTGGTGTTTGTAAGGCCAGCTTGTGCCTTCCCTGGCTCACTTAGTTGCTTTGAACACGTGTGTGTTATGCGAAACGTCCTAATTACCAGCCCGTGTGTGTTGGAAAGGGCACCTCAAGTTGCAGGTAGCACGTGGTATAAAGGTGTGCACGGGAGAGCGAATTCCAGGGTGTTCATCCATCTCATTCTGCAACTTCTTTTTAAAAAAATTCCTCTATAAAAGAGGAGGGGAATTCATTGGACAATTTAGACACTTGGGTTTAGAGAGAGATGCTTTTAAGGTGACATTGGTGAGCAAGGGAAATCGCTGTTTTCTTTGGTGGAATCATCCATGAAGACACTGACAAGGAGAAAAATGCCACTTGTCTCCCAGAAACACTCTCCTACCCAGTGCCACGCAGTTCAGTCTCCACTGTGTGGCCTCGGACCATGCACGTTTGGGAACCTCCGATTTCACCCTCTCTGGGTTTAGCTTTTAATTATTTTACTGCCACGGTTACCGTGATCCCTCTGCTGCTGTGCCTCTTGGTATCAGCATTATTACCGTTAGCAGGAAAGTTGTACTTAAATTGTTTCCATTTTTTAGGCACTTGTTGTGTGCCAGGCACCACATGGCAGAAGTGCCAGATGACCCAGCCCTGTCTGAGCCCCGGCTCCACAGAAGTGAGGGACTCTAAGCTCATGAAGTGTTTTTTGTTTAACATTCAGTTCAGGCACATACTTAAAGGAAAAAGGAAACATGTTTTTGAGCCCTTTTGAATGAGCAGGATGTTTTAGTTTTGCATTGTCGTTTATTCCTCACAACAGCCTCGGGAGGCAGCTGGAGTTGCCACCGTTTTACAGCTGTGGTCCCCAGGACTGAGATGATGCGTGAACGTGAGGGAAGATGCGAGTAAGGCAGGAGCTGGGATTTGAACCCCAGGTTTTCCTGATCCCAAAGCCTGCATTTCTCCCACTCTACCACAGCCTCACCAGATGAACGAGGGAGTAAATGAATGAATGAATGAATGAACAAACTAACCTGCTAGAGTGGAGTGATCATTTTTAGGAAGTATGTATTTTGAATTATGGAGTTGGAAGGGAAATGTTCTTTCATTTAAACTCTATTTAGTACCTTGATATAGTCCTTATACACTTTTGTGTTATGGATACCCAGTGTCACCTCTCAGTGGTGACATAGGGTTCTATTATGAACTCAGTCACATATCTTACATTATAAGGTGATACATTTCCTCAATATCAGTTGCTTGGTCATTTAGATATATTATTTAGGATTTTTTTTACTTGAATATACAAAGAAGTTTGATTCATATTAGGCAAAATAATGGAAACCATCCCAATGTCTATTGCTTGATGACTGGATAAACAAATTGTGTTACATCCATGTGATGGAGTACTACTCACTAATAAAAAGGAATGAATTAATATATGTGACAATATAGATGATTTTTTTTACCTTTTACCCATGTCTCCAGTTTCTTTTTTTCTTCCAGTTTTATTGAGATAAAATTGACATACTGTATAAGTTTAATGTATACAGTGTAATGATTTGACTTACATACATCATGAAATGTTTAGCTCAGTAAGTTTAGTGAACATCCATCATCTCATATAGGTACAAAATTAAATAGAAAAATTTTTTTTCTTGTGATGGGAACTCTTAGGTTTTACTCTCTTAACAACTTTCATATGTAACAGACAGCAGTGTTAATTATATTTATCATGTTGTACATTACAACTCCAGTACTTATTTATCTTTAACTGAACGTTTGTGCCTTTTGTCCACCTTCATTCAATTCCGCCTCCCCCTACACCCCTCCTGCCTGGCAACCACCTGTTCTCTCTATCTGTAACTCTATTTCTGTTTTGTTCTGTTTGTTAACTTGTTTTGTTTTTTCAGATTCCACATATAAGTGAAATCATACACTATTTGTCTTTCTCTGTCTGACTTATTTCACTTAGCATAATACCCTCTAGGTCCATCCATGTTTTCACCAGTGGCAAGATTTCATTCCTTTTTATGGCTGAGTAATATTCCATTGTATATATATGTACCACATCCTTTTTACCCACTCATCTCTTGATGGGCACTTGGGTTGTTTCTGTATCTTGACTATTGTAAATAATGCTGTAACGAACATGGGGTGCATATATCTTTTCTAATTGGTGTTTTTATTTTCTTCTGATAAATGCCTAGGAGTAAAATTACTGGATCATATGGTAGTTCTATTTTTAACTTTTTGAGGAGTCTTTATACTGTTTTCTATAGTGACTGCAACAATTTGTATTCCCACCAGCAGTGCACGAGGGTTCCCTTTTCTCTCCATCCTCACCAACACTTGTTGACTGTTGTCTTTTTGATAATAGCCATTCTGACAGGTGTGAGGTCATATCTCATTGTGGTTTTGATTTGCATTTCCCTGATAATTAGTAATATTGAGTATCTTTTCATGTACCTGTTGACCATTTGTATGTCTTCTTAGGAAAAATGTCTATTCATATCCTCTGCCTATTTTTCTAATTTATTGTTTGTGTTTTTTGATGGTGAGTTGTATGAGTTCTTTGTATATTGTGGATATTAACCCCTTAAATGATATGTCATTTGCAAATACCTTCTCCCTTTCAGTAAGTAGCCTGTTTGTTTCATTGATAGTTTCCTTTGATATGCAAAAGCTTTTTATTTTGATGTCCCATTTGTTTATTTTTGCTTTTATTTTCCTTGCCTGAGGAGACATATCTAAAAAAAATTACTGAAACTAATGTCAAAGAGAGTACTGTCTATGCTTCTTTCTAGAAGTTTTGTGGCATCAGCCTTTAATCCATTTTGAATTTATTTTTGCATATAGTGTGAGAGAGTATTCCAGTTTGATTCTTTTGCATGTAGCTGTCTAGTTTTTCCAACACCATGTATTGAACAGGCTGTCTCTTCTCTATTGTATGGTCTTGCCTCCTTTGTCATAGATTAATTCCCCCTGTAAGTGTGGGTTCATTCCTGGATTGTCTATTCTATTCCATTGATTTATATGTCTGTTTTTGTGCTAATACCATACAGTTTGATGACTGTAGCTTTGTAGTATAGTTTGAAATCAGGGCACATAATACCTCCAGCTGTGTTCTTCTTTCTCAAAATTGTTTTGACTACTCAGAGTCTTTTGTGTTTCTATACAAATTTTGGAATTATTTGTTTTAATTCTATGAAGAATGCCACTGGTATTTTTATAGAGCTTGCTTTGAATCTGTAGATTGCCTTGGATAGTATGGTCATTTTAACAATGTTAATTCTTCCAGTCTGTGAACATGATGTAACTTTCCATCTGTTTGCATCATCTTCAGTTCCTTTCATCATTGTCTTATAGTTTTTCAAGTACAGTTTTTTTACTTCCTTAGATAGATTTATTCCTAATTTTATTCTTTTTGATGCAGTTGTATTCTTAATTTCTCTTTCTGAAATTTGCTCAGAATCAGTTGTTTGGGCATATCTGTATATTACTTGGGGTTACTTTTAATTTAATACCAGAAATAACAGTGATTTAAATAAGATAGAATTATCTGTATTTCTAGTTCGTGTTGTTGGAGGACAGAGGGAAAGAAAAGTGCCCACTGAACTAAGAAGGCATCTTGAGACTGAAAAATGAGGTAGGCAGCTCTATATAATCAATAGGTCAGTTTATTATGGGGTGATTTACTCACAGAGTGGGATCGGGGACAATGGTCCGGAAGCATTCACAGATACAGTCTGCACCACTGAGGGGCCATTGGGACAATTTTATAGTTAACTTAGAGTGTGGGGGTAGGTGCTTGGAAACAGGATGTACGTGCCTAAGTCAAGATTCATGAATGGGTAACTAGTCTCATGGGCACCGAAAACACGTCAGGGAAGGTTTTCATCATTGTTTGGGAACTAACAGAGCGTAGAGGCCACCTGATCCTAGTGATTATTAAACAATTTCTATTAACTACAAAGCCTTTGACGACAGAGAAGTGATTTACTGCACACTATTGTCCTGGGTAAGGTCAGCAAAAGGACAGAAGAAACTATAAGCGCCCAAGATGGCGTCAGTTATGCTAACAACCAGCACATGTACAGTACATCTGGAGGTGGGCAGTTTGGGTGGATGTGGTGGCTCACCTTTTGTCGGGGATCCAGGTACCTTCCATTTCTCCACTCTACCACTCTGTTCCAAGAGTGAGGTTTTCCGTTTTGTGGACCAATATATTACAGGACTGGGGAAGATGGACAAAGGAGTGTATCCCCCCACCCCCTTAAGGAAACATCCCTGAAATCCCAAAGGACACTTCTGTTTCCATCTTATTGACCAGCAGTGTATATGAATATAGGAGATCATAGTGGTACCTACCTCACAGAGGACATGGTGAGGACAAATGAGCTAATGTGTGTGAAGTGCCCAGAGCACTGCCTGGTACACAGTCACTGGTAGAGGAGGGTCCCATCTGTGTTTTGAGGGATGTTTCCATGAGCATATCTGGGTCTCAAGCTCAAGGTCTTACTCAGGATATCCACTGCCCTCTGTAGCCTTTTAGGCCTGTCTGCCTCTGAAATTTCATCTTCTTTTGGAGTGGTCAGACTGATCATATATTCAGCAATTTGCAATCTGATGCTACTGTCTGTAGTTATCCTGAATTATCACTGAATTTTCTTTGCTGAAAGAGAAATGCCCGAACCTTGACATTACCTGCATCAGTGATGTCTGTGTGTCCTTCCCCAAGGAATTTTTTAAGTGTCACGTCTTAATTCTGTACTTGCAGAAGAGTAGACTGGAGCAACACATTTTATTGTCATTCAAATGCTACCCTGATGAACGGAGATGACAGAGGTAGTGGGTTAGTGAACAGACTGACTGTCAGGAAAGCAAATAAAATTATCTCCAACATTACCTTGTGGTCAGTTGGTGATTTGTAGCCAGTGAGGATTTTGCCATCTTTCTTGAAAGCCATAATTAATTCTGGTCACCCACGGGCATCTTCCACTGACATAATCCGCTCATTTGCACAGTTATCAGCCGGAGAAACAGACCTGGACAGAGTCCTCGCCTTAAGAAGTATTTACAATTTAGTCTGGTCTCTGAAATCTCTGGTGATTTGAATCACTGGGGTTGCACACCCACCCATGTTCCAGAATAAACCTCCTAACTTTTTGCTGTGGGGCTGAGTTCTGGACTGACAGTTCCTGTGGAGAAAAATTTCTCACTAATCAGTACTGCCTAGAGTTGGTGGAAAGACAGTAAGAATGACGAAGATAAAGTTAATTTGAAGTGGTACATTAACAGTGCTCAGAAAAATGTGAGTGAGGAATAGAGAGAGGGGAAAAAAACAGCTTCCAGCCACAAGTTTCAGCTGGGGACACCTTCATCCTGTAGGCGGAAGTTGAGGCCCAAGTGGCCCTTTAGTGATAACTCCGTGGTTCTCATCCAGAGAGAACCACTGGGGGAGCTTAATGATTGCGGTTGGTTGAAACCTTGCCAGATGGTGGGAAGAGCTCTATTTACTTGGATAATTAAAATGGTGACGGATTTGCATGGCTGATTTCAAGATCTCTAGGCTGCAGATGACTGCCTTTGGGGGCAGACTGGGATGAACACCTCCTTGCTTTAGAGTATCTGCACCTGACTCAAGTATCAGAGAGATGGGAGCCAGGGACTATTCCCACAAAATGCTCCATCTTGAGTTGAATCTTCATCCCGAGCGCTCTGACCCTCATACGGAACAGTTCATCCCAGCAGGGAGATGACATTTCTCAGAAAGGCAAGGTCTGCTGACAAACTTAGGATTAGAGATTGTTTTCTTTCTTTGAATAGGACAGACACTCTTCTTTTGATTCTTTTGATACCATGATAATTAATAAGATTGGTGCCTTTAGACTTTATTGAGTGCTTTTTAAAAATACACATTGTCTCATAAAATCCTTAGATTCTTCTGTGACAGAAGCAGGGCACTGCAGCAGAGAGGGCAGGGGGAAGCACTGAGTTCAAATCTCACCTTTGCCACATGCAAGATGCATGCTTTTTTTTTTAACCCTTTAGAGCCTCAGCTTCTTTATCTATAAAAGGGGGTAATGGTGTCTACCTTTTGGAGTTGTGATAAAGATTAATGATTTATATTCATGAAATGATGAATCATCTTTGGGCACGGAGTAGTTTCCAAAATGATGATGGTTGTTCATAGCATCCTTTGTAAAACGAGGAAACTGAAGCTCAGAATGGGTGAGTGGATTCTCATGGCCCAGTGGTAGGTGATGGCAGTGAAACCCACTTTTCTCTAAATCCTAGGTGCCATCTTGCTTCTATTAATGACACTATTGTCTCTTTAACTCCCCAATTCCCTCTTGTTAAAGGATGGTCCAGGAATCAATTCTAGTTGAGCCAGTGCCACCCTTAATCCTCTCAATACCTCACCTATAAAGTGCAGGCACTGCCACAGGTCCCTCTGCCCATGGTGTTTGGGAGCTGATCTGAAAGGCTCAGAGCTGACAGATATGCAGTGGGGCTGTATCAGGGAGTGCTGGGTCTTTTATAATTTCTTTTCTGAGACAAGGGGAAGTAGAGCCAGAGCATTTTCACACCTATTAAAGAATGCTGGACCAAAATGTGGTCCATACTCTGCTGGCTTCTTACTGCTTACTACTACTACTCCGCCCACAGGCGGAGCCCTCTGCAACTGAATCGAATTATTATCCTATAATGAATAGCCAGTGAATCCATCATCGTATTCCACATATGACTGTCATATGTTTTAATTTGTCATTGCATATGTGAGGGTTGGTGACATGGGCTGTCACCTGTATCCAGCATATCCCAGGCTCTTGGCAACCTGAATGGAAAGGAAGAGGCTCAGATGCCTGGTTAATTTCAGTGTTCTGTCCTGAAACAAACCAGAGTTGCACGCCCCACCTTCAGCATCTCGGCCCCAGGCAAGGTCGGATCAGCCTAGCTCGGAGGAGAGAGCAAATTCACTCTAGGCAAGCAATGATTTTTAAAAATACATGCTCTCTTCAGTGAATGCGAGGGGGTTTCCTAGCCCATGTATGGCCAACTAGGAGGCAAGCCAGTCATTTCCCTTGTGTTTTCTCATCTTTATAGGCCTGACAGCGGGACACTCTTTGGAGAGTGAGAAGATGGGGAGAAGGAGGAAAAGAGAAATAAATAACAGGAGTGAAAGAATTGAAATAGATATTCAGGCCAGCCTTCGTTATTCAAAACTTCAGTTAACCAAGACTGTCAGTGAATTTCACATACCCCCCAGCTACTGTGGTTCACATTATAAACTCTTTCAATTACCTGAAATCTCACTTAACTTAAATTTCAGCACATCCCCTGGGGCAGTCAAATAATCAAAGTTTGCCTGTCGAAAGTAATACCAGAGAGGGGGAACCGCCCTGGTGACTCCAAGAAGGATAGATCATAGAAAAAAAAAAAAGTCATCTTAGAGAATGGCATTAGAATCATTAGGTTACAAACTTGAAATTGCTGAAATGTTATCTAAAAATTACAGAGGCGAGCACAGATTTTTAAAAAGGCTGTGGAAATGCACAGGGAGCTGTATGGTTGGAGACGAGGGTGTGGCTATGGACAGGAAAGACTCCCACGAAGGTTAGCAGTCCTGCCAGGACTGTCGCGGGCTGGAGGACTTCAGCGAGATAAGCATCAGTGTGTGGTCAGCGCCACGTGGCACTTACCCTGCAGATGCCCACACTCGATCTGGCGAAGTTGTGAGTATACACCTATCTCCAGGTGACAGTCCAGGATGCTTACCTGGAGCAGTGATTCTGCAAGATTTTAAAGGATACAGCTGGTGAATGGACATATGCCCAGATGATATAGGAAAGTGCTCATTTTAAGTGATAAGAATGAGGTTAAATACAAATATCATTCTGATGATTCTGTGGGAGCTATCCTGTGACCTCTCTATATACATCGAGTTTATGTAACTGAACTTCTTTTTTTCCCTAAACGTGATGCTAAAATGGGATTTACAGATGTAGGCTTAATAATAAATTGATGGCTATCTTACTAAAATATATATTATGAATATCATATATAAATAAATATATATATAATACATTTTTTTTCTGCTTCGTGTTAACTGAAATCATTTATTTCTCAAATATTTTTTGAGCACTCTGGGTCAGGAGCTGCGCTTAACTCTGGAGATGCAAAGGTGAATGAGTCAGGCTCTGGCTGCAAAGAGGCCTCCGTCTGTGGGGAGACAGGCGGGTGGTATGTGGTTGTGAGGCTCTAAACAAGGTGCACCCTGAATGCCGTGTGGTCACCAGGAGTCAGCTCTTACTCTGTCCGGGAGTGGCAAAGGGCTTCCCAGTCAGGGGCTTGTGAGCTGGGTCCAGGGGAGGACAAGAAAGGAGAGAGGTGATGGAGAGTGAGCATGGGGTAGCAATAGGTGGCACCTGATAGACACAACACATGGCGAGTAGGAAGAGTCATGGAGGTGGATTGCAGCCAGATATTGAAAGGCTCTTGTTTGCCACTCTTCTTAAAGGCGACATTTTTAAAGAAGAGTGGCAGGACCTGATTTATGATTTTTCAAAGGACCTGGTACCTAGACTAGACCTGGTGGCCACGTTGGTCCCAACTCGAGATTATGGGGCAGTGCAAAGGTGGGGTTCCAGGAATGGAGGGAGCAGCTTATTTGAGGTTAGAGAGATTTTGCTGATTGTTGGAAACTGTTTACCTGGTGCTGCCGATTGGATGGGAATGAGGTATTCCTGGGTGGAGGAGGGAGGGGAGGGGAGGAAGAGAGCAGTAACACAATAGAAAGTAGAGGGGGACCCGGGGAGGAAATAGCTCTAAGAAAGAGTGAGTATGCTGTGGAGAAGTTTCTAAATTATTCCTGAACTTGAACTCTTCAGCCACATGTGTTTATCTTCGTCTGAGAAGCCTTTCTGGATTAGCAAACCTTGTTCTTGCAGCAGCTAATAAAGTCTAGCCTGATCCCATCAGTAAAAGTCACTGTCATTGCTTGACAGAGAGGGTCCCTTAGCGGAGAGGTCCCCTCCCTGACACCCTGGCTACCTTCATCTCTCTCTGCAGTTATCTGGTTGTAAAGCCATCCAGATAGTAATGTGGTGTGTTAGATAGTCATTTAACTATTATGACCTTCATTGTAGCAATTATGACTTGCTTTATTGCAGATAATAGTGAATGGGTAGATAAAAGCCACTCAGTGGTGAAAGCAGTAGGTTTGAGTTCTTAAGGTGAGAAACCCAAGGCCACCTTCGTGGTGTTGGCGTGTGGGCATGAATTAACATCAACAAATGAGCTATGAGCTCTGCTTTAAAAAATACAATTGAAATGCAGTTCAAAAGAAATCTATTTTTGAGAAGATAATGAAAGCATTTCATGGTATCTAGTATACATGCCAGAAACTGGGCCTATTTTACCCAGTTTATCCATCCATGTTTCACTGATTACCCAGTACACTTGGTTTGTGGTTTCTCCTTTCTCCATTTGGTAGGTGTCTGTGCCACACTGCGGCCACGTAAACTTCACCACTGTATATGTGCTTCTGTGTATGATTAGTGGAGGCTCAGAGGTTAGTTCAAATAAAAGAAATTGTTATTAAATGCCCCCCCTTATTCATGAAGCATTAGAAGGGGAACCTTAGCAAGGTTGAGAAATAAGCTCAGTAGAATGGACCTACCTGGGCTCACGTGGTGAACATTTGCTGTTTCTCACTTCCCAGTGTTCATTTCTCTTTCTCAACAGCACCCCAATTTGGAGGATATTACCACTGGATGTAATCTGGAGGGACAGTTTGGAGGGATACAGTCCGGGTGTCCTGTACGCCCCCCGGCAAAGCATGGCACACAATTAGCTTTAGGCCAGTTGGCGACACATTTGAGCAGGGAGACAGAGCCTGAAACATAACAGAGTTCACTTTTACCGGGTTTGGTAGCCTCTGACTCAAACTTTTTTGCACTGAGACCTGGTGATTCCTGGTGCTGCCTCCAGACTTGCTGCCTACCTGTTTCCAAGTTTACTTCTCTGTCTTCCTGCCAATTCTATGATTTCCAATATTTTTCCAACAGATTCCTTTGTCAGTTACTGTTGCCTACAACCAAAGGATCCTAACCAGATATATGCAGAGAGCAGTATGGCTGTACTGGTTATTACCTTCATGATGAAGGATAAATTGACCTCTTAGAGCAGCAGTGTACTCATCTCTAAAATGGGGCTAATCAAACAACCTATTTCACAGGGTAAAATGAGATCTTTCAAGTAGAGCACTTTGCACAATTTGGAAATAGTAATGTTCACTAAACAGTGGCTGCCACACTTACCCTTATAATCAAATAAAGGTCTTCTTATTATTGTTACTCCTAACAGTGCCTGGCACATAGCAGACATTCAAAAAATACTAATTTGTTTCCTCCTTTCCTGAAAACAAAACCTCCTTTTACGAGGTGGGGAGGAGAGCAATTATCCCTGATCCCTATACTACACACGAACTTGACAAGCAGAATTACACCTTGACTGAAGGGCGAAAATGGAGGGGCCTAAGGAGAATCCAGTGTGTGTCCCTTGGCCCCACCCGAGTGGCCAGAAAGTGGGGTGTTTGCCTGTGCCCTGCTCAGCTCAGCCCTCTGCAGTGGGGTCGGGCGACCACGTGACCCACTTACCCACTTTTGTGATTCTGATACCAGCTGCGAGGGCTGAGGCCAGACCCATGTGTGCCTCTGGTTGCCTGGGTAGCACCCTGCCTGTCAAGAGTGCCTTCAACAAGGTGATAACAGACCCCACGTGAAGAAACAGCAACGCCAGTGTGTTCTTTGTCGGCCTGATTTTGAGCCTAAGTCACATCTTAGGGCCTGAGTCACAACTTAGACAATTATGAGTTGAAAGGCACTTTGAAAAATAAAGTAACTCATGCTCACAGTTGAGCTGGTGAAGACCCCAGTCATCCGACACGTGGCTAGCCAGAGCTTTTGGGGACGTGGAGCTGGCTGGCCACTGAGCAGGACTGTAGGTGGCCTCTCTAACCTCAGCCATGCCCTGTGGAGTAAGACTGAAGAGTCCCCAGGAGGGCCGCCTGTCTTCCAGGTAGGGTCTCAAAATACTGTAAATGAAGATGCGTTGCTTTCAGGGACACGGTTATCTCTGAGAGTGTCTTGTTAAAAATATGGTTGAACCCAAGAGAAGTAATTTGTGGAATTGCTAATAATTTGTTTGTTACCAATATAGACTACTAACAAGAGCCTGGAATTTGTCGTTAAGAGCCCTAGTTTAAGCTGATAGTTGTTAGTTATGTGATGCTGGGAAAGACCATTAATCTCACCTATCTTGTCTGTAAACTGGGGAAGACTGTTTTTGTCCCACTTGCCATATAGTGTCACCTATCAAATGAGAAAGTCTCTGGGAAAATGTTCTGTAAGTTTTAAATGCTGTAAAACAAATGCCTTTAATTTTAAGAAAGTCTACAAAGCCAAATTTTAACATAGTACCTTTCATTTCAAGCTCACAGTAATAGTGAGGTGAGCAGGGCAAGTGTTAATTAATCCGAGTGATGCCTCAATCCCAAAGAACTGGTTAATTATTTCTGTTACATAATGGCCTTTATTCGGGCACCTTTTTTACCCACGCATCTCTCAAAACTCTTTTCAAGCATCATTTCTTCTGTGCAACTTTCCTTTCCTGCCCAGCACCCACCCCCCAGCCCCACTCTTGCCTTTCACTAAAATATCTATTCAATGAATGAATAAATGTGCAGAGTGGCTTATTATAGAAGAACAGTTTCAAACTTTTAAAATGGCAATCCACAATAAATGTGTGAAAACGGGCACATATGTGTGTTCATTCCTACACACATATTCAAAAAGAGAAGTTTCATGAAACCACACTTACCTTCATTGCATGGAATTCATGCTGTTTTCTGTTCTGTTCTGTTCTGCTTTTTTTTTATTTTTAAGAAAATGAGGGTTGCAATTGAATTGATTTCACTCCGCAGACTAATGTATCGTGACCCACAACTTGGAAGACGTCGTTATGGAAGATGCTGGCCCCTGGGAACCTTGTTCTTTGCAACTGGGCGGGTCACTTGGGTTATCTGGAAGGTTTGTCCCTGCTCCAGCATTCATGCTGATTCTCAAGAATGAAGAAGTTACAAGGCTAGGGGAATAGGCACTAATGTAAGCATTATGGCAGCTTGCACATTGATTGTATGTAACATGCTTTTAGTGTTTTTCTGGCATACACAGAGAAGTCAAAAATCTAATGCATTCTTAGGTTCTGGACAATTACCGTTGGAGAAAGATTTGATTTTAGTCACACATGTGTCCGAGAGACTATGTAGAGATTTGCAAGGGTGATTTTCAAATAAAAATCAAGTTCCCCATTCAAAATCCTCAGGCTCCAGATGGGTTTCGGATGCAGGAGTCTTCGGCATCTGAAAGGAAATGCAGTAAGCGTACGGTGTATTCTGTACCGTCCCCCGTAGAGTTGTGGGCAGCAGCTGGTAATCAAACACATTGATTTGTCTTCAGCAAATGCACGGATATTCACAGTCTGTGGCATAAAGACTGGTAAAAATCCTCATCTCACCTGAGGTCACTAACGCGAAGTGAACGCATTTTTAATTTTCAAAACTTTGAGGGTTTCAGAAAAACCCATAAGGAATTGTGGAAATAACGTTTTTGTTATCCAGATATCGTGTTTTCCACTTCAGAATCCCTAGGACCATTTATCTGTTTAGGAGACCAAATGCTTGGCTCAGTGCCTAACACATGGAGGGCACCCAGAAAATATTTGTTGAATGAATGATCGAGACCGACTACAGCTTATAGAAAACTCTTGTTACGATCAAGCTGCTTTTGCAAAAACAGCCTCTAGTTTTACCCCATTTCTTTTAAGTGGATGGAAAGCCTATTGCCTCTACTTGTCCCTTAGGAGGAGTAGAGGGGAGATGCTTGTGGATTCTTTGGTTTCTTTCCTTCTTCCTTCAGGCCTTGCTCTGAGAAAAGAAGAGGCAGATCCACTAGTTTTAGAAGAGGATGGTTAAAGAAATTCTAGGTATAAAAAGTAGACAAATTCAAAATTCCCCTTTCTTAGCTTCCTTATGCTGAAAATACCAACTGGATGTAGTAACTAAGTCCAGGAATATTCTGATTTTTTTTTCCCTCACAGAAGGCTTCGTTTGTCAGGAATTGGGGTTCCAAGGCTTGGCTGTACCAAACTCTGTGTTCAAATTCTGGCTCTGCCAAACCCTTGGCATGTTATATATAAACTCTTCAATTTAAGCATCATTTTCTCATGTAGAAAATGTCCATGATAATAACACAGTAACCTCCTTGTGTTGCTGTGAGGATTAAAGGAGCTCATAGATGGAAAGCATTTGCCACTCACCTTTGGTTTTTTTTTGTTGTTACTAGTAATAATAATGGTGATGATGTTAATCTTCTTCATCATGGTGGCAACTGAGCAGAAGCACAGAGCAGGGGCAGATACGGTCTCCACCAGTGTCCCTATCCTCACATTCTTTGCTATGGATTGTATTAGTCAGGATAGGCTAAGTTATGGTCTGGTAACAAACACCCCCTAAGTCTTTGTACCTTACCAAAGGTACCTTTGCACCTGTACAAAATTTTATTTCTGAATCATGCAAATTTCTCTGTGGATCCAAATGACTCTTCAGGGCAACTGTCTGTCATGTCAACTCTACACTCCGGGCTGTTTTGTTCTTACTGCACCTCCATAGCAACACATGCCTCCCCAGATGTTGTAGTAGGAGAGGAGAAAGCTTGGCAATTCATACCTTGACTCCTAGGAGCTTCTATCCCAGAAGTGACTCACATCCCTTCCAGTCCCCTTTTACTGGATAGTGCAAGTCACATGGCTCTGCCTTACTCCAAAGCAATGGGGAGGGATAGTCCTACCAAGTGCCTGGAAGGAAAGGAGACCTGGAAATACTGAGGAGAGGCACTAATGTTGACCACACAGACATTTAACCTTTTCTTACTCTGTTGTAAATGGTCATTGCAAACACAGCCTCAGCCCTAGCACCCTTTCCAACCAGGTGGCTGTCCTGAAGCCATCGCTGTCTGGAAATTCTGAACTGCCACTGCTGCAGGTGACCTTTGGAAATCATTGAGCCGGCTCTACCCTAGACCAGGCAGAGGAAGCAATTTCTGGGTGCTCGAAGTGACTCATACCTCCCTCACTGGAGCCCCTCCCCCTAGCATTTTCCCCGGCACCCAGAATCCCAGTGATATTGGATGGGATGTTAAAATCGTGGGTTCCTCAAGCTGGAGGGCTCTCCGGGAACCCACTCATTTTCCAAGTGTGTAATCTGAGGTCCAGGCAGTGTTTTGTTCTTTGCATCCCGTGGCTTTCCCAGGGTTCCGCCAGTTCATGATGAGCCCATGGCTAGCCCTGCATCTGGACGGAGGCCTCCTGACTCTGCTTGGTGATTTTCTGCTGCCCGCCTACTCCATCGTCTGCACTTACTCATCCTCCTCTAGAAGCAGAAACACCCCAAGCACAGTGACTTGGCTTGTCTCACTTTCTGTTCTATTTCTGGTCCCTCCTAAGGCTGAGGCTGGTCCAGGCACTCGCTGGTTGTTCAGAGCTGCCAATGGAGGAGGCTCTTCAGCACCTTTTTCTTTCCTTCGAGTTTTTTTTGTTGTTGTTGTTTGTTACCAATTGGAGCGATAGGAAGTGGGACAGTTGAACAGTTGCCACCACAGGGACTTAACTACCACTATTTTAGAATAAGAACAAGAAATTCCATCCTGTTCCCCAGTTACGCACATGTACACCTCCCAGAGTTTCCTACTGATATTTTAATGAGACTGCGTATGTAGGATCTTTAGCCAGATGGTAAAATATAGTCGGGGCTTGTACATGTTCAGAACCCCTCCTGCTACAAAAAGTGGCACAGACAACCCTGGACTGGCTCTGAGACTGAGCCAGGCCCTGAACCTCTAGGCTGCTGCTGGCCTCTCAGTCCCTCCAGATTATTTTAGTTGTTTCTAACTTTTAAGACTCTCTGAAGCTGGAGGCCTCCAGAGCCTGCATTTTCAAAGTATAGATGGGGTAAGAATGACCTCTGCCCTGTGCTAACAGTGCAGAATTCGGAGCCAGCCACCAGAGACTGATGGTTCAGGCAGTGTGTGGGCTGGGGGTGAGCAGTCTGAGCTGGGGCCCAAGAATCTGCATTTTCACAAACAAGCGGGGTTTCCAGGGTGATGTAGAGCAGGGTTCCTGGTTGATGCCGCCACACCAGAGTGGCAGGACCGTATAGGAGGTGTCCCGCCTTTAGCCAGAACAGCACCACTTTGAGCTGTTTTATAAATGAGGTTTCAGCCTAAGGTGTGTTCCACTGATAAAAATAAATGACATGGAATAACGCATTTGAAATTCCCTGTTCTAGACCGTAGTAAGCAGAAGAAAGCACAGCCCAGCAGTGACTCTCTGAAGACCACCCTTTTTTTGGTGTAGCTTTATCTTCTTTACAGAATGAGTTTCTTATCCTTTGAGGCAGCTTCTCGTTGTCCCGTTTTCCATGCCCCAAGGAGAACTGAACAGCAACATTTCTCTTCCCCAAAGCCCAGGTCCCCGGGTCTTAGCAGAGTCTTCTCTGCCTGTTTTCTACCAGGAATCTTAGACCCAAAGGGAATGGAGGCCCGTTACTGACCTTTTCACAGCTTCCAAGGCCCTATTTGGACCTGCTATCAGAGAAAAATGGGTTCTCTCTTGGACCCTAACAGATTTCAGTTCAAGGTCAGGGAACTTGAAATTCCACTCTGCCAGTACGTGGTGGCTCTTACCTGTCCCCCTCTAGTAGACTGGAGGTGACTCTGATCTTGCCGGCCCCACTTTACAACGTCTCCACATGACTGCAATTTTCTTCCCTGAAGTCGGAAGACACGGAATATCTTTGGGGCCTCAGATATCGATCTGATAAATTGAAGGGACAAAAGTGTCCGTCTTTGCGCCACCCATACCAATAGCCCTGCTGACCGAGGTGGATCATGGGCAAAGACCTGGAGGTACAAGGGCAGATCTGTTAAACTGTGTGTAAATGGCATTTTTTCCTGTGAAGTCTCAATACTTCCCTTAGGACATTGCAGTTCAGATTTTTGAGCTACTTTCCTCTGATATTTACTCACTGGGGATTTTACTCTTGAGAAATCACTGTGGCAACAGAACCGTTTTCCTCCATGAAGACTGTGTCAGAGTCTTAAAATCCAGGACGTTTTGAGGCAAGATTCCAACCTCATTACTGCCAGGAATAAAATTCATGCAAGGTGGAAGTGTCCTCTCTTAGAACTCAAATCCGTCTCAGAATGGCTTTTTCTTTCTCCTTTGTTTTTGAAGCTAAGCAATTACTTTTTTTTTAAGAAAAAAAATTGTGCTAATGCACAAAACTCTTTTTTCTCCTTTCATTTATTTAAAATTGAACTTAACAAAGTCAGTTCCAAGCAAGCACTATATATGAGTAATGCTTTTTGTCCATAAAAGAGCATTGACTCGAATGGTATGGGAGTGCTGATCCTGTCTCTGCTTTGTGTGAGCGTCCATAATGACAAAGTGCTCATGTCAGAGTGGATAATGAAACTATAAATTGTTTTCATGAATGCTCTGAATTTGGTCTTTTACGGGGCAAATTCAAAAGGTATTTAGTGCCACATTTCACATATGTGAATAACACCAGACGGTGCAATAGATCCAATAAAAGTACAGAGTCCCAGTCGTGCTCACGCTGACCCACATGATGGGTGATTGTCAGGGGAGGGTGGGTCACACTGGGGGCAGGGGCGGTGGGAAGAAGGAGGGACGAAGATATCCTGTTGACTCTGAGGAAGAGTTGCAGCAAGGTACACCCGACTTTGGGGGGATAATTCAGAGTGTGGCTAAAATACTTAGCTCAGAAAATTGGTCTCTGGTGGTGGGTGTCTTCATTGGAATCACAGAAGATGTACACATCTTGACCGAGTTTAGTGGATAAAAATTCTCAAGTGAGAAAATGTCTGCTAGGTTGCATGGGTAGGTGCAACCTATAGCAGTGATTTATGGCTCAGTTAAATTACTTTTTATTACATGGTTGGTATATATATTTTTAAGTTATAGAAGCCACCATAGACTTATTCTAAAAAATTTAGAAAACACAGACAAGTATAAAACATTAAAAAAAATGCAAATAATTTTGCTACCAAGAGGTAACTGTTAGTAATATACAAAATGTTTATTAAATCTTTCTGCATCGTATCGTTTGATAAAAATTTAACAGAATTTTATGTAATCTTATCTGGATGTATAGATCCTTTTTTAAACAAAATTTGGGGTCTATCAGTTTATTTCTTTATCTCTGTAATTGTTTAAAAGGATTCTGCTTTTTAACTTATTCATCAATTCAGGTATTTTCCCTTTCCCAGTTGGCCAAAGTTCATGAACATCCAAGGTCTTGGTTCTGTCATATGATGAGTATACCAGATACTGTAGCAGCCTTTGGGCTCGTATGTCATTGAGTGACAAATGCCTCTGGGTATGTGACCTCTGAAAATGAAAAAGGCAATAAAATGAAACAAAACCAGCCCTGCTGGCTATGTGAACTCCAGCGCGTGTGAAACAGAGGGGACCTGTTGACATTTCTGAGCCGTCGCGTGCATCTGTTTGTCCTGCAGTACCTGGTGTGCAAAAGGAAGCTGGAGAGTAAGAAGGAAGCCCTGCTGATCCTCTCCAAGGAGCTGGACACATGCCAGCAGGAAAGGGACCAGTACAAGCTCATGGCCAATCAGCTTCGGGAGCGCCACCAGTCCCTGAAGAAGAAGTACCGCGAGCTGATCGTATGTACGATGTCATGGTGACACCCCTGTTCCCTCCGCCAGATAGAAGGAGGAGCCTTGTTCATGCGGCTTCTTCAAAAGAGGATTGGTTTAGAACAGTTCCAAAGCGGAAAAATTTAGAAGTGAAAATCCTCACCCTTGTTTCCTCCACAATCCAACCCACTCTCTAGTTGATAGGCTGCTTGCTCTGGTGCCTGTGAACATACACACGTATCCGGATGTGTTTGTATGCCTGTTGACTTGTTAATGAATTATACGGAGTTTTTAGAGAGGATTTGTATTCTAAATCCGCGCTAGTACAGAAGCCACTAGCTGCATGCGGTTATTTAAATTTCATTTTAAATTAATTAGAATTAAATAAAACTGAACACTCAGTCTCACTTATTCACTCAGTCGCCATAGATGGCTGGTGGCAACCATCTGGGGTTGTGTTGATAACAGAGCATTTCCACGGCGGCTGCTATGTTGGACACTTAGCTGCAGGACATTCCCCTCATTGCAGACAGTTCTGTTGGACAGCATTATATAAATGTTGTTCTACAACTTGCTCTTTTCACTCGGCACTTTGTTTTGGACATCTCCCCAGGCCGTACATACAGATTTAACTCAATTTAAAAAGCAGTTACAGAGTAATATTTCCATAATTTTTAAACCTTTCCCCTTCCTGGGCAATTCGATTTTCTCTAGTTTTCAGATGGCAAGATCTTTAAGGATGCAAATTATACTGGAGGATCCCAACTGCCTGGTGCTATTTTGCGTTCTTGCTTCTTTTTTCCTCACGGATGCTGCCTCTTGTTTAAGTGCTGACACTACTGCTTACGTTTAACTGTCTGTGCTGGGGTCACTGAATTGTCCTGGAATAGAACTCCAGTAGAAGATTCCTCAGGTTAAAATCGTGCTGACATACGGATGCCGTCAGATAGAGGAGCACTCAGTTTCTGAGCGTTTATCATCCGCCTGAGGTATTTATGTATTCCCAGGTGGCACACGATGGAGAGGAACTGAATCTTTTAAGACAAAAACTCCGATAGGACTAGCAGCTCTCAGTTAATTTTCCTTAATTTTGAGCACATCTTATCCCTACCCCATCCCAAAATTGTTCTGTGCATAGGGAAACCTCAAGTGTATGTGTGTGCGTTTGTGTGTGGGTGTGTGTCCGCTTGTGTGTGGATGTGTGTGTGTTTGTGTGAGGGGTTGTGTGTGTGTGGGTGTGTCTGCTTGTGTGTGGGTGTGTGTACGCTTGTGTTTGGGTGTGTGCTTGTGTGTGAGGGTGTGTTTGTGTGTGGGTGGGTGTGTGTGGATGTGTGTACGCTTGTGTTTGGGTGTGTGCTTGTGTGTGAGTGTGTGTTTGTGTGTGGGTGTGTGTGTGTGGATGTGTGTCTGCTTGTATGTGGGTGTATGTGTGTTTGTGTGTGTGTGTGGGTGTATGTTTGTGTGGGGGGGTGTGTCCAGTAGTATTCCTTTGGATCTAACTATTAAAAAGAGGAACCCAACTCAAACCAAATGAAATATTATTTCAGCTTAGGCTGTGCTCAAAAGTAATTTTGATATATCTAGTTTATTTATTTATTTGGCTCACATAGTTTTAGAAAATACATAGATTTGGTCCTAACTGGAAATTGATTCCTTAGAGGTTTTCCCAAAATAACTCTGGTTCAGTTTAGAGTTAAAATGTTTTCAAGTATATTAGAGTTTGGTTCAACACATTACTAGCTGCAGGGGGTGCGGGAGGGTAGGGTCTAAATTTAATTCATAGTTTGGTTCCATTCTTTGAATCTAAGCACACCTAATTTTTTTTTAATGTAACATTGATTTCTTTGTAGGATGGCGATCCATCGCTTCCCCCTGAAAAGAGGAAACAGGTAAGACTTATTTCTGATCTTTGAGAGCTCTGAGGATGTTTGTATTGATGCCTTACAACAACTGGGGAATCAGGAAACCCCAAAATGGGTAGAGAAATCTTTTAATTTCCCAGAATCCTTTTGTATTACTTGGGGGAGTGGATGGTAGAGAAATGGGATGGGCTGGGATGAAGGGAACCCAGTGAAGTCCAACACAGCGGAGGAGGGCACACCGCTTGACTGTGTTCCCTTTTTTGTTGGGAATCCTGTGGGGAAACCACAAGCTGAGAGCTCGAGGCTGTAGGACTTCAGCTTACCGTTTCGTGGGTGGACACTGTTCTGCCAGTCACTTCTGCCACTTCAGACTTTTAAAAGCCATCTTACCAGCAAAACTCCTAAGCCATTTATGTCTTTTCTCCTAAATGGTAACCAGCATTGCTTATTGATGAATTCATTTTCTCCTCACAGATTTTAGATGCCCACTTTTATCAATGAACACACACTCATATGTGTGTGTGTATATATATGTATATGAATCTGTTTCTGGACTTTTTGTTCTGTCTACTGAGCTCCCTGTTTCGTCCTATGATTGTACCACATTATTCTGCTTTTACTTTATAATACTTTTAATACCTGTTTGAGCTAGACTCCTTCCCCTTGCTCTTTCTTTTCAGATGTTCTTATTACTTTTTTCAGATATAACTAACAAATATTTTATCAAGTCTTCCCCTGATCCCACTCCCTGCAAAAAAAAAAAAAAAAAAAACCAACCTGTTGATATTTTGATTGGGGTTCTGTTAAATTTATAGATTAATTTTAGAACAGTAAACATTTCCATAACATTACATCCAGGAATATTGTACGTTAAATTTTTTTAATCCAGTTGCATGCATATATACATATACATATATACACACACATATATATAATTGCTTTTTCCAAAGGTACCTTTGTTGCAGCTTTCCTTAACTTCACAGTTGTTCTATACTGATGTAGCTTGTAGACTTTTAGGGGTTGAAGGGGGCCTGGAAGATGGTGATGTCAGCCCTGCGCGTTCCATGTTGTGGAAAAGCCTCTGCACCAGAGCAGGGCTTCAATACTGGTAGATACAGGAATTGTTGCTGGCTTCATAGCTGTAATGGCTAACTCAACATCCTGTTTTTGTTCATTGATCACATACTTGGCACAGCATATAAACTCCTTAGATTCATTACCTTGTGATTTTTGATGCTGAGTAAACTATGTCCCAGATACACACACACACACAACATTTACCCTTAAACAGCAACTTGGTCCTGTGGGTACCCTTTCAGTCATTCAGTTCTGCTCACTCCCACATTCCCTTCCTATTCCGTTTGATTATTGTGTTATGCTGGAGTTTTGATCTAAAGTCAAATTTTTCTGTGGAACTAATCGATGGTCTTCTTCCGAACAAAGTGACATGGAAATTTATCATAAATGTTTAACAATTGGGATCCTTCATCTGGAATTGCTAGCTGTTTTTGTTTTTTTGGTGGCTCTGTGCCGTCATCTTTGCTGTGATTTTAGAGTTTGTTAGTATTCATGAAGGAGTTTTACAGTGTAAGTGAATTCACTTTCCGTGACTTTCTAATAAAAAATTTACATTGACTGAAGAGAATCTGATGAATTCCAGTAAGTCTGTCAAGCTGCATTTTTACAGCTCTAAAAAAAAAAAAAAAAAAAAAAACAAGTTCAATGTCCTAAGCACTGGCTTTGTAGCTTTCAATACGGCATTTAGTTTCTGTCCCTTTAGGATTTAGTGTGGTGATGTGAGCTGGGGCTCTGCATCCTTCCTGCCTGGGTTAGAGCCAGTGCCTTGCTGCGTGACATAGGAAGAAATGGGGTGCAAGTGATAGACGTTCGAAACTTCTTAAACAATAAAGGGATCGATGCCCTCGCATAACCAGAAGCTGAGAGGTGGTGCGGGCCTTAGATGCTGTACAGCCATCATGACTTGTTCCTTCCCCTCTGTACCACACTTAGCAAATAAAAATACAGGATACCCCGGTGAATTTGAATTTCAGGTAGACAGTGAATACTTTTTAAGTATAAGAGTATGCCCCATGCAATATTCAGTGCATACTTATGCTTAAGCATTAATGGTTATTTATCTACAATTCAGATGGAACTGGGAAGCCTATATTTTATCTGACAACTCTATCGCTGTGCCAATTTTAACGTCAGCTTCCTCTTGAACTTAACATCAGCTTTCTTCTAAAGGCTGGTTCCCCTAAGCAGAAGAGGCAAAAAACCCAGCCATGGAATATAAGTCCTTCCCTCCGGTCTGATTGGGCCAGTATAGGACGTGCTTCCCTTTCTGGCTTACTAACATTCACCGGGGGGTACTATACATTAACTGTCTTAATCACCAGGATAGAAGGGATTCGGGAGTGAGCAGTGACACCCACCAAACTAATTGTGTGGCCTTGGGAAGAGTCTTTTGGGTGTGTGAGTCTCAGCATTCTCATCCACAAAGTGGGAGTAAACATGGTGCCCACCATATAGTGTGGCTGTAAGGAACAAATGAGATAATGCAGGTAGAGTCTTCAGCACTGGGACCCTTTTTATTTATGCTCGGCAGCTTGAAATAGTTGGGGCCAAAGGGGAAGTTCTTGGCTCAAAAGGCCTCAGAAAGGTTGGTTGAATAGCCACCCGGGGGACAGAATTGCAGCCAGACCTCAGGACCAGCTACCACCAGGGCTCAGGTGCCCCCAGGTCTCTCTTCTGCCCTCAGCATTCTCTGTGTCAGCTGTAATTTCTTTTTGTGGACCTGCCTTCTCTTTGGAATGGGAAGTGTGGCTGCTGACCACATGAGAGCTGCAGATGCCACATCTTGTACCACTAGAAGAAAGCTGCTCCCTGGTCCCAGAGGAGAGTTCCCCCAGGCCAGGCTCAGGCCAGGGGCCCATTTCAGGGTCAGACGGGGGTGGCCAGGCATCCTATAGATGCCAGGCAGCTTCTGATGTTGTCATGTTGAAGAGATGGATAGACCAAGTCTTAGCCATCTGCTCTGGACACCTTCTTAAGACAGTCTTGGGGTGACAAGTAATAACCATAGCAGCCAGTAGTTTTGAGTGCACATTCTTGAGTGTCGGCCCTTGTGCCCAGCATCACACTGTGGACTATCCCATTGAGTCTTCACACAGCCATGGGAGGTGGGGGCCATCAGACAAGTGAGGAAATTGAGGCCTGTGGCGGGCAAGTCAATTACACAAGGGGAATAACGTAATTGTTGACAGAGCCAGAGTTCAAAGTCCTGCAGTCCACTCAGAGCTCATGCTGGGAGCCAGCATGACTCAGTAAATATCGAACACCTCACGGGTGTCCTGTGCTAATTAGACACTAGGGACATAGGGTGGAAAAAGTCAGACCCAGATCCCTGAGGGTGTGGACCTTGCATTGCAGTTTGGGTGACCAGACTTTGTTCCTCAGGGTCGGTTTCGCCTCTTGTCCCGGCGTAGTTTGTTTTAGTGCTCCTTTCGCTCTCCAGATTGCCTTGGTTTGGACGATTAATAGTATAGTCATCTTAATTCTGGTAGGGGTGCTCTGAGCAGACAATAAGCAGAGCGATTAAAGTATATAGGATGTTAAGTGGTAATAGGTGCTATGGCGAGGAAAACTAGAGGCCAAAGTCAAGGGAGGAATTCTGCCGAGCAGTGGAAGAAATGTCTTGATAAACAGTGAGGGAAAATAGCTCCCGTATTTGGAAAAATAATCTTACCTGTTTAAAAGACATGTTTTCGAATGTTATTTACCTTTAGTTATTTATAAAGGCTTGTGATGGTTTTTGGATGGGGGCAGGTGCTAAGATGCCCTCTTCATTAGCTCAGTGTGGGGAAGAAAATGCACCCTTAAATTTGCATGCACTGGTTACAGTGCAACTTTCCGTCTGGCCAGAAGCAGACTGCTTTGGTATCCATGTGCCAGTACTGGAAGGGAGAGGCGCAGTTACCTTCTTCACTTGTTCATCAGCAGAAAGAGAGGGTAGAAGCGTGCACCCTGACCTAGTATCGCCTTACATCACGTGTTTATCCCAAAGGCAAAACAGTAGGTGAAGTATTTACCCCTCCAGCTGCAAAGTGAATGTACCTTGTGTGAGCAGAAGGCATGAAACGGGAACCAGCTGCCGGGGTAACAGATGGTACACGGGGGTCAGAGGATCCACATATTGGAAGAGGAGAAGATGCCGCATTGAGCACTGCGTTGCCCGTCGGCCTTGGAGCTGTGGCTCCCGTTTCTTGACCTGAAGGAGGAATTTCTACAGACTCTTTCCCTGTTCATGATCAGCTCAGAAGGAGAGATTACTGTGTTATGGACAGAATGTTTATGTCCCCCTAAATTCGTATGTTGAAACCCTACTCCTTAAGGTGATGGTATGAGGAGGTAGGGCTTCTGGGAGGTAGTTTGTGTGGGATGAGGTCATGAGGGTGGACTCTTCATGACAGGCTTCAGGGCCCTTGTAAGAGTCATGAGGAACTTGGCTTCTCTGTTCTGCTCTCCGTCATGTGAGGAAACAAGAGACGTGCGGCCTGGAAGAGGGCCCTCCCCAGAGCCTGACTGTGCCAGTGCCCTGATCTCAGATGTCCAGCCTCTGGAACTATGGGAAATAAATGTCTGTTGTTTCTAAGCCCCCCGGTCTCTGGCATTTTGTTGTAGTTGCTCAAGCTGACTGTAAATGCATTGAGGGTTCTTCTCAAATATAAGTAGAAATACCCCGTCTTCAGTCGTTACGATGTTTTGTACTTTTCAGAGACCACACGTGGACGTGTGCGTGAATGTAGGTGTCTGTGCACGTGTATCACCCCCCGGCTGTCTTCTAAGGTCACACTGGCAAGTTAGGTCTCTCATAAAGTCTCAAGGCAGCGTCATGGTTGGCAGTAGATAAAAGCTTGGGTTCTGACATCCAATTGTATGGATTCAGAGTTAACACTTCCACTTACTGGCTGGCTGACCTTGGGCAAGTTGTGTAACCTTTCTGAGACTCAATTTCCTCCTTTCCA